GGAAAAAAAAAAAAGTCCAATCAGTACAGCAAGTCATTATTAGGCCTCAAAATGAACTGGACTGAAGTAGCACCATAACTAGAAACTGAAAGATTAGTTAATTCTCTGGTTTAAGGCCTTTTAATTTATAGCCAGAGCCAGAGCCTCATCATACAACACAGCTTAGTTTATGTTTCTATCAAAACAAGGAATATGATTTTACTGCTAATGAATAATGTTGTCAGTGAAAACTGAAGATCAATTTTAAATAAATCTGTTGCTTTTATTAAGAACAAGTAAATGTAATACAAACATAGCTATTCATAAAATTGAAGTTCCTGGGATAAATATGTCTGGGGGGTGAACCATCTAAATGAATGAGGTCACAATACAAACTTGTTGAACAAATAAAATGAAGACGTGAAATTCAAAATACTGCTCTATGAGAAAAGTTTAAAAAGTATAGGGAGCAGGTAAAATCCCCGTAGTTCTAACAGTACTTAACTTTCACCACAATTTGTTTAGCAGACAAATGAAAACATGGTAAGTGTTAACTATGTAAAATTAAGCTAAATGATAGGAGAAAAATCACTATCAAAGTTTCAACACAATATCATAAAATACACATTTGGTCTAAACAGAGCCAAGACAGCAAATGCCAGAGCCAGCAGGGCACATCCTCACACAGCAATAAAAGATAAGTAAACACAACTAATTTCTTCAGTTCCCCCTTCCCAACCATCACTTCCACAAAGAGTTCAACTACAGAGAAATATGAGAAGCAACAAAGTGAAAAGATGTTCTATATCATCTGCTAAGGGAAGTAGAAATTCTCTTAACCTAATTAATATAGTTACCTAAGTGTAATTTACTAAAAGAATTAAAGAGGTTTTCTAACAAAGAGGAAAAGGCACTAGTTTAAAATAATTGTAAAAATACAACAAAGGCTTTAAAGTATCTTCAACACTCACCTCTTCTGGGGTAATTACACCTGTTTCCTTAAATTTTGATTCCTAAAGAGGGTAGAAAGAATAAAAGTATTAGACCATGTTCACATTCAACTAAAAAATGTCTTAGGGACAAATATTTGCCCCTCCTGGACAATGAAGAATATACTATGGAACAAACAAAACAAACACTAAAACCTAAATATACTGTGTATAATAACACTGGTCCTTGCTAACAAAGATAAACATATAATGTAGATAAATTAAGAAGAATCACTTGCAGTATAATTTGATCAGTACAGTTTTTAAAAAGCATGATAATATTTAGATCACAGTGGCGCTGGGTGGCGAACAAGTTATGTTGCAGCACTTTATCACAGACAATGTTTTAGTTAAACTGACTTATATTAGAAGCCAGCAGAAGAAATCATTTAGTATTTCATATTTTCCATGATTCTCATCTCTACCAGAACTTTTTTCTTTTGTTGTGATTTATTTTCTTTAGGATTGGGTTTTGTTAATCAGGCCAAGCTGGTGTATAACTCAAAAGCTTCCTGCCTCAGCCTCCAGAACACTGGAAATCTAGGCACTGTGTCACTACCACCATGTCCAGTTTCACTAAACTTTTAACAGTATTTTCTCCTCTGAAGAAACAATACTATTGACTAATTTTTGTTCCAAATTTTTACATACAAGATTTTTGTGGTATAGTCTACAAAATAAAAAAATCCATTTGTGAATATTATTTATTCAACAAATATTTACCACTATATGACAGTACTATTTGAGACAATGTGTTATATGCCTGACAAATAAATCAAACTCATCTTTATACCATGAAGAAGAAAAAAAATTAAGTAGGGGAGAGGTGGTATTAAAATAAAATAACTCCTCAGCTAGGGGTTCAACTTAGCACCTCCAGAACTCAACAGAATTTTGATTGGCTTGATCTTGTACAGGTAATCACCCACACTCTGTATCAGTCCAAAAGATACTTTCAAAGCAGTCCTCCCAACCTCTGGCAGTTGATGGCTGCCAGGAGAAGATAAGTCTGTTTTCTTCAAGTTGTGGCTCTTGGTAGGTTGTGCATACTCTAATGGATGACCTATACCCACACACATACAGGCAGCAGTGACTGGGCTCAGAGAATTAAAAAAAACAATAAAACAAAAAAACATAAAGTTGGCAGAGGTATATCCTGGGGGTGATCTGGAAGGAATTGGAGGCAGAAGTGAGGGATGGATGTAATCAAAATACATTGTACACATGTATGAAATTCTCAAGAAATAAGAACAAAATATACTATAAAGAAATAAAGGATAGATAAAAGACCAAACCATAAGGCTGTCTAGAGTAAAAAGCATTGCTGGCCGAGGGAGGAAAAAAAATTCTAAAAGCAAATGTCTGTTTGATGGTGTACTAAGGACGGAGGCTATGCCAAAGTACTCACAAGATAAAGGAGACTGGGACTTCTAGTAACCAGAGAGACCCTTCAAGATCACTATAGGGATTGGGGCTTTACTACATAGCTGTCATCTAAACAAAGCATGCCATCTCTCAACCAAACATCATCATTTCTTTCTAGATATTTCCTCTTTTCTCTTTTCCTTCCCTCACCTAGGAGGTATCTATAAGGATTCTATTTGCAGGAGTGACAAGGTGGGGCCATTAAGTCTTTCTTTTATACTAAAAACATATGCTACACATTACGTCCAGGCAGGACAGCAAAACACTTTAACCTCAGAACTTGGAAGGCAAAGGAAGGTGGGTCTCTTAAGAGTTCAAGGTTAGCCTGGGCTACACAGTGAGTTCCAGACCAACTAAGTCTACAGAATATATATATTTGATTCCTCAAAAACAGTTCCAAGACCAGGCAGTGGTTGTGAACGCCTTTAATCCCAGCACTTGGGAGGCAGAGGCAGGCGGATTTCTGAGTTCAAGGCCAGCCTGGCCTACAGAGTGAGTTCCAGGACAGCCAGGTCTATACAGAGAAATCCCATCTGGAAAAAAAAAAAACAAAAAACAAAAAAACCCAACCAACCAACCAACAACAACAACAACAAAACCCCCAAAAAACAGTTCTACAAGTTCAACAAAATGCAAGTGGTATACAATATAGTCAGTCATTTTATATTTAATTGAGAGGTGTTTTGCTCATCTCTCCTTTAGACTAAAAGTTAAATTAGTGGTACAATATTAAGACACTGTGAATCTATGAAGATACAACATTCTGGAAGCAAAACATACAAAAGAAGGATTTGATTCCAATGTTGAAATTATTTTCCAATTTTTAAATAGAAGAGTAAATCTTAACTAAAATGACTGTCGCAGTAAACATAGAAACAAAACCAAATAAGATTCTCATTTACAAGTGTCCCAGACTCTTCAAACTTAATCCAAAAGTGTATTATTTTCAAAAGTATTTTAGAAATAATTATTGAAAAGCATCCCCCCCACACTGTCAAGCAAAGATCGAACAGCCTACTCAGCAGATTTCACCCCTGCACTAAGATTGGTAAAATTCTAACTGAAAGCTAAATACAGAACAAAAACTACGCAAATTATCTGCTTCTCAGTTACTGTAGCTCGCTTTTTGCAAAGCAAAATCAAGTTGCCGTACGTAGCCTAGAAGGTGTAAGAAAGCTCTGAATGAATCTTTGGACATTTACTTTTGAAAACAATACAGTCTGTGCTAACAGCTAACCTATCACAAGTTTCACCTAAAAATGTTAATAGTATTTCCAGTCTATACAATATCCCTTCGGTTGTGCTGAACTGTTGCTGTAGAATCATTCAAGTCCAAGATTAGTAATCAGTTACAGCTACTTTAAAGGCTTGGGAAACTACAAGTTTCGCTCTAGCTCAGCTCAAAGTTACTAACATGTTACAATTTACTCTGTTCCTCTGAAACCTAAGGAAGTTGGGAATTAGATCACCCGAAAATCAAAACTTCCTATGACACTTGGAAAGAAAAGTGGCATGCTGATAGGCACCAAGCTGTCATCTTTTCAAAAGGTTAAACCAGTTTACCTGCTTAAAAGACTATGGATGTCAGACCGTTCGTACCTCTGCTCCGCAACGCCTTGCCTTGCACTCCAAGGCACTGATCAGTGGAGACAGCAGACACCAAGCTTCAGTCTAGTTGAAGCCGGGAAGCCGGCAAGTCTTGGGACTGGCCCAGGAGCCCAAGGCCAGAGGCAGTACCTGGCCGTGCGTCTAGCCCCTCCACCTTCTACACCCGTTCACGCTGGGGACCGGGACTTGGGCGGCCAGTGCAGAGTAAGCCAGACCCTCCCCGCTTACCTTGAGGACCGGGGTCAGGTACTCGGCCACTTCCAGAGCCTTTCCCTTCACCGTGTTGATCACATTCTGCATCCTGGGGCTGGAGCAGCGATGGGGCACGGAGGAACTGTCGCAATTCGGGCCAGGGAGTCAAAAACTGCCCCGGACGTGCCCGACTGGCATCGAACCCGGCAGCCGCACCGGCAGGGCCAGGGGGAGGGGCGGAGGCGCGCGGAGGCCCGGCCCAGCTGTCACCTGGCCGCAACCGCAGAGACCCAGCCGACTGAGCGAGAGACGGGTGCGCGCGCAGGCCCCGGCCTTCTCGAAGCTGTCTTTCGTCCCCAAGCTCCACTTACACCCCTTCCGGGTTCCCCTTCCTCTTCTCACACTGTCCCAACAGCCCCGCTGCCACCTAGGCCTCACGTGACTCGAATCTCCCGGGACACGTGACAAAAGTAGGCCCGCGGGGGCGGGACCGGCCTCTCCTCGCTCCGGCCCGCCCCCCGGAAGCGCAGGGATGAGCGCGCCTGCGCAATGGGCGCGCAGGCCGCTCTTCCCAGGCGGGTGGCTCTCAGCTTTGTGTTCCAGCCCAGGAAGGCAGCGGGAGAAGGATTTTTTTTATTTCTCGCCTTTGTTCCCGGCTCATAGCTTTTCCACCAATGGGCCTTCAAAACCTACTGCTGCTACTACGGAGTTAGGCAGTCACTATCTCAGCTCTATGATGTCCGTTCTTCCACTAGAACCTTCCCTGAGCTACTGAGGTAACCGCGCCCTCGCCCGCAGTGTGGCTCGAGCGTGTTAGGGGCCGAGGGAGCCGCCCGCTAGTCCTATTGCGCATGTGTGGGAGGGTTTCCCTGACAGCGAGTGAAACTTGGCAGTGATGGAGTGCTGACCATTGGCCTTCGGTACGCTTGCGCCCACCTGATCTCTAATTTGGGCCTATGTCTGCGGCCCTTGACGGCTCTATGTGCCCATCCTACTTGTGTACTTTGGGCAAGTATTTACCCTGCCTGGAGTTTCGTGTCCATCTGTCATGTAAGACTGACCAGTTAGGCTCACTGACCCAAGATGAGCCTTCTGTTCCCACCCTGGTTCAGTAAAAGTCATTATCTGTGTTTCAACTATTTGCACTGTAGTCGTTTCTGTGAAAGAATCGTTCCCAGTAAGCTCTTTTTCTACTCTGAAGGAAGAGCTGTTATTAATAGTACCCCCCAAAAAACCATTCCAAAATTCATTCCTTATGGACCAAAGTTAATACGAATAAACTGCTTTTCTGTAGTCCCAAACTCTCAGATACGCACTTCCTAACTTATTTTCAATCTGGCCATCCCCTTCCTGTCTCGATAATCGCCTCTCCTATGAGATTTTGGCAGTATCGTTCATTTCCTTTAAGTTCTCTCTGTTCTCTTCAGCGGTCTTAGTTCTGATGCAATTGTGGCCAAACGACTACAGGTTTCCTTTTCTGTTATGCACAGTCTTCAGTATTTGCATTGTGCTTAGTCCGTAGGTCTGCCAACAGGTCTGCTCATGAAAGTGTTCTTTTTAAGACAATTAAAAACCAGTGGAATGGAAAGAAAATGCTTCAGGCGCTCTGGGTTAGGCCCACCAACGCTGTACACATTCCTGCTAGGCGTTATATTCATTACTCTAAGCTCAAGTCGAATCTTACTGGTAAAATATTCTGCCAATGAAGGTGAGTTAAAATGTAAATGTGTATGCCTTACTTTTAATCATTTGTCTGGTGTTCTTATGAATAAATTATATATGATACCTTTTAAAGTAATATGTTTTGTGTCAATGATGAAGTGTGTTTAAATTTTGAACTTTAACCTTGTGTTCCTTGGCAAGATTTTTTTGACCCTGGATGAAATTTGGATCATTCAAGTGCAAAATAAAGTACAGTGTATCATAACATCTGATTATACATCACCCAGCAAGTGTTTCTGGATCTCTAACAAAACGTACGATTGTAGCTTATTTGGAAATACAGTATATTAGTTTAGTTTCTTGGCATTTGTGTGAGTTGGCATAAGTATTTTACCAATGAGACAGTAAAAATTAAAAGTTTGGTATGTATACTCATGAAACCTATTTTTTTAATTTAACACTTTATACAAATTTTTTATTCCACAAAACTGCATTGGTTACTTCTTAACTATTGACAACTATAAAATCATGACATCATGACTTTTAGTGGCCTACTTGAGCTCCTATCTGGGAATTCGAGCCTTAACTTCAGATAATGTTTATCTTTCAGGCCCTAGGCTCAGTTTTAATATTATATTAATTTCTCTCCTTGATGCTCTGACAATGTACCTGTCCAAAGCAGATTAAAGGAAGAGGTTTCTTTGGGCTCACTATCTGAGAGTAGGGTTCACCACCACAGCAAGGTGGTCAGGGCAGCGGAAGCTTGTAGCACCCACAGGTATCAAGTAAGAAGACATAGAATATCCTTGGGGCTAAAGCGATAGCCCAGAAGCAAAGAACACAGGCTGCTTTTCTCCAGTCTGTAGGTTCAGTTCCCAGCATCCACATAACTATTCAAAACTGACTATAGCTGTAATCTTAGAAAGTTGAAATGTACTCTCCAGATCTCCTAAATACACTTCTTCCACTGTAGTCTTCTGCCACCTAGCTAGAATTCTTACACCCATTCAAATGATATTACAGGAAAAATATTTTTAAATAAATTTTTAAAATAAAAATATTTTTAAAAGTCACACCCAGCTCATTTTCACCTTATTTAGCCTAAGACCCCAGCCCATGAAATGCTGCTGCTCACAGGTAAGGTTGGTCTTCCCACCTCAAGCTAATTTACATAGTTTCTTACAGGCATGCTCAGAGGCCAATCTGAGATAAATCCTCACAGGTATGAATCATCTTAAATGGTTCTAGATCCTTGGTAATATTGACCATCACAGTCATAGAGTTCAAAGTGCATAAGATACAGACCATCTCTTAAGAACTTGGTTTATTAGAAGAGATAAACATGTAAATATGTTATAGAAGTCTATTATAAGAAATGCAATAAAAAGACTATATCCAAGATGCAGAGATAGTCTATGAAAAAGTACTGCATATGTCTGGGAAAGGATGGTGGGCAGTGCGTAGGAAGCAGGGCCACTTCTGACTAGACGCCAGCCAGTTGATTTCCCAGAAGACCGGGGATGTGGGGCATTGAAATCAAAGACAGCAACTTATAAAAAGGAACAGAGGCAAAAGGACAAACAGGTGGGGGAGAATATGTAGTTAGGACTTAGGTAATAGTGGCCCACACCACTAATCGCAGCACATGGGAGGCAGGGACAGGTAGATCTCTGTGAGTTCAAGGCCACCCTCGTCTACAGATGGAGTTTCAGGACACCCAAGGCTATACACAGAGAAACCCTGTCTTGAAAAAAATTCAAACAAACAAAAAGGAGGTGGAGGTTGACTAGAGAAAGAAGTAACACATTGTTAAGGGTTTCATATGCCAAGCTGTGGTGTTCTGCCTAGCATCTGGGCAAATAAACATTTGAAGGATTATAGCTGCTTGCCAGTTTTAGTAGAATAAATAGACTGCAAGAAGGCTAGTTAGATAGGAGATTATTGAAAGTGAAGCCACAGATGATGAAGACTGACCAATCCTGCTATCAGAATATAGATGAGAGAGTCAAGAAATATTCAAAACACACAAAAACACTCAGTTGGACCATGTGTTGAATGTGAGGGTTAAAGGAGATGAAATACTGGATATTTCAAATCTTTCTGGTTCAAGTTGCAAGTAGTTTGGTAGTGTTTTTAGCTCAAATATAGGGACTATTAGTAGGAAAAGTAAATTGGGTCAAATTTGAAAAAAATTACAGTCTTCAGGTATTTACCTTCCATGAGGCCAGGAGGTATGTCCTATTTACTACAATGTATTACAATGACCAGCACAAATGCACATAACACCTAGTAAAGGAGTAAAAGGAGGTAGTTACTCGTAGATGTATTTGGTAAGCTTCTAACTAAATGTTACAGGATTTAGATCTCAGTTTTTCTTGAACTGATGTTTAGACTCTAGGAGCAGCTTGTGCAGATGAGAAGACAGAGCAATGAGAATTCCATTAAGTCCAAGGCCAACATTCTGAACATTAAGAATTCATTAGATCTGGGAGCCAGGGTCACATGCATTTGATAGCTTTTTAATCCCAGGATTTGGGAGGTGAAGGCAGAAGGGTCACAGGAGGCAAAAGTTCAAGTGCTACATACAGAGTTTACAAGTGGCCTGGGAGAGAAAGAGGGTTAGGAAAGGGGAGAGAGGTGGGGACACCCCTCAAAAAAACCCACGTTTTAGTTGCTTTGTTGCTTGGAATGTAAAAGAGCTAGGAAACCCAAGTTAAGGAAGGGAGAGGTTGTTTTGGCTTACAGTGTGAGAGGACAAAGTGCATGGTGGCAGGGGAAGAGTGAAGGTAGGAGTGTGAGGTAGCAACTGGTCATACCACATCCACAGGAATCAGGGAGATAAGTCCTACCAGAGAGCTCACTCTCTCCCTTTCCCCTTATTCAACCTGGACCCGCTTAGGGTAGTTTGCCTCACTACCTTCAGCATGCTTTTTCCCTCATGTAAAGCTCTCTGGAAACATCCCCACAAATGTACCTACATGTATGTCACAGGGGACTCCACATCTAATAAAGATGACAATGAAGATTAACCAGTTAACCAAAAGAGGTAAGACAAAAGTGTCATACCATGAAAAGATACCAATTAAAACAAGCCAATAGCATTTGTAACTAGAAGATATTTATCAGAAAATGTGTAATTTAAGCCATAGGGTGGTGGCACATACCTTTGATCCCAGCATTTGGGAGGCAAAGGAGAAGGATCTCTTGAGTTTGAGGACAGCCTAGCCTACAGAGCTAGTTCTGGGACAGCCAAGTTAGACAAAGAAAACCTGTCTTGAAAAAAGAAAATAAGTTAATTTGACTATAATAGTGAAGTAAGAAGCCAAATGAGTGTTGACTTCTATAGAGAGGAAAATGTGTGATACAGCCTGGTGTTTTACATTTCATTTATCAAATTTTAAGCTTTATGAATGCTAAAAGTCAGGTTAGTAGAGGAATAAAGGAGCTATGCTGGAGTCAAAGTAGGTAGGTGTTGAAACTAATCCTGTCAGTCTCTGCCTCCTTCCCATGGGACTTTCTTTGCTCTTGAGCCTAACCTCCCAACCTATTTATCCAAATGTTGAGAAGAACTGTGCCAGCTAAAAGACATTTAATGTAGCAAGCACTAAGTATGATTTTTAAATTTAAAATCTATTAATTACATATAAAAACATGCAGGACAAACTTGGTTTTAAATTTTTCTGTCACATTTCAGAGAACAAATACGACTATCTCCCTACTACTGTGAATGTGTGCTCAGAGCTGATGAAGCTGATTCTCTGTGTACTTGTGTCACTCTGTGTTATAAAGAAAGGTAATTCTAACACTGTCTATTTCCTAAATCATGCTAGCAAGGAACATCAGAACTGGTGCAGCCTTTGTATCATTTAGGCTAGTCCTGGCATGAGTATATCTTCTAGGTATGGAAAAGGATCAAAGAAAATGTTAGGAGAGTTGTATTGGAAGGAGGGGAGCTAGGAGGTTTTCCATTGCATTTCCCAGTGTCCTGCCCCTCATCACTTGTTGCTAGATTGGATTTACTCAGTGGGTTTTTCTTAATTCTCCATCTCAGTTTTCCAGTTATGGGCTTTGGCACTATCATATTGCTCTTTCATCTCATGTGAACTAAGCAGAGCTTTTAGAGCATTAAGGCGCTTGCACAGGAAGTCTTGACACCACACAGTTTCATTCTGTGATGAGTTTCTAGTCAGCTCTAGCATTTCATAATTTCATGAAATGTATGCATTGCTTAAAGGGTTTAAATTACCTTTTTCTTTCTTCGCATTTTATTTCTATCACAGCATTCCTCCCTAAGTCTCTGTAAGTCTGGAGCAGGAATACTAGCTAAAACCAGGATTAACAAAAGTTAACCATCTCTTAGTCCATGAATAGAAACTTTCACTTACTAGTTCACTTCTCTGATCACCCCTTGAGGGGAGAGTGGAAGCGTAAAGTCTTCGTTGTTTTGTATTTACTCTGTTGCTAGAAGTAAAACATACATGTCTATCTGAAGTCGCTTAGAGTTTCTAAAATTATGGTTCTATTTCTGCTAGGGTTTGGTCGATTGTTCATTGCCTAATGCCATATTATCTTTTACTTCTGTAAACCTGAAGTCACTTACAGAGGCAATTTAATAAAGCCCAGTTTACAGAATTATACTAGTAATCAAGGTTAGTGTACTATCAATGGAAACATAAGCATTCTCATTGAAAATTGTTTGCTTGTTGTATGATTGTTTTGTATGATTCATATATTTCTTTCTTCAGAAGATCATCAAAGTAGACATTTGAGTTGTACTTCCTGGAAAGAATTCTCAAGTTTCATGAAGTGGTCCATTCCTGCCTTTTTGTACTTCCTGGACAACTTGATTGTCTTCTATGTCCTATCCTATCTTCAGCCTGTAAGTAACAGTGTAACAGAGAAAATGCCATTAAAAAGACACAAAGAAGTGAATCCCCAAACTGATCTTCCTTTTTGTCATTTTCCACTGGCCTTCCTGACACTTCTCTATCTGAATACTAATTTGCCTGTGTGTGTCAGATCTTCCCATTGTTCATGGTTTCTGTGCTGGCTTTTTGGTAGGGTGGGGGATTGCTCTCAGGCACAAAGACTCAGAAGTCACCGTGATTTGTGTAAATGATCAATCTCCCTTTAATTTGAGCTCTCTTATGACCATTCAAGACCTCTACTCAGACTTCCAGTATTAATTCAGAAAATAATACAGCTGATGGACCTCTCTTTAGTGTAACTTATCCATTTACTATTTGTAAGTATTTATATCCATATTTACTATATGGCTCTTTCTGTTACTTTTTTTTTACATTTATGTGTGTGTTTGTGTGTGTGTACACATGTGCCATGGCAGAAAGTGGAGGGCAGAGAAGAACTTGTGGGTGGCCGCCATATGAGTCCCAAGATCAATCAAACTTGGGTCATCTGATGGCTCTAAGTACCTTTTCCCATCTTGCTTGCCCCTTTCTATATTAATCTTATCTACAGATTCCTTAAGAATGTGGAACTATATCAATTCAACTGATAATGCTAGGAATACTCACTTTTGATACATCTTTTATTTTAATTTGGAAAGGCATTGGTAATCACAACTAAAAGTCTTCTGCCTGGTTGGTGACTCATACGTTCAATCCTAGCTAGTGCTTTGAAGTCAGGGGCAGGCAGATCTATGAGAATTTGAAGCCAGCCTGCTCTACATAGTGAGGTCCAGGACAGCCAGGGTTATATAAAGATCCAAAAGAAAGAAAGGGTTATATAAAGATCCAAAAGAAAGAAAGAAAGAAAGAAAGAAAGAAAGAAAGAAAGAAAGAAAGAAAGAAAGAAGAAGAGGAGGAGGAGGAGGAGGAGGGAGAGAGGGAGGGAGCGAGGGAAGAAAGAAGGAAGGAGGGAGGGAAGAAAGAAAGAAAGAAAGAAAGAAAGAAAGAAAGAAAGAAAGAAAGAAAAAGAAAGATCTGTTTTCTACTTTTACCTGTAGTTAGTTTGGGTTCCATTATTCTCTTCCCTCAATATTTTTTAAAGTGGGATATTTCTATTGCCTATGTTATTTTAATTATAAGTAGTAGTTTTACGGTAGTGAGCTTTTATGTGAAGCCTCCCTGATCCGCTTTAGAAACGGATGAAAAAGAAGGAGCAATAGAACATAACAGGAATCACGAGCTTGGTGCTTTTTCACATGTCGAAATCTGTGTGACTGGGAGTGCCCTGCCTGCCCTCTGTTTCAATTCTTCTGTCTGTAAAATGGAAGAAAACATGCTAATTCAGCTCAAAGGCAGGTGCTTGGGCTAACTGAATGCCTGTGTTCCTGTCTGCTCTGTGATATGGGGAACATTTTATCTTTTGTTTTGTTTGTTGTTTTGTTTTTCATTAATTTATTTACTTTACATCCCAATCAGAGCTTTTCCTGCCAGTTCCTCCCTCTCCTCTCCCTTCCTCCTTAGGCCCTCCTCTTTTTCTTCTCAGAGATGGGAAGACTTCCCATGGATATCAACCCACCTTGGCATATCAAGTTGCAATAAGACTAAGTAAGTGTATCTTCTCTTATTGAGGCTAGATAAAGCCATCTAGTTAGGAAAAAGAGACTCAGCACCTCCTCCTGCTACTAGGGGTTCCATGTGAGGACCAAACTGTACATCTGTTACATATGTGTAGAACTAGGTCCATCCTATGCATGCTTTCTGTTTGGCAGTCTTTTTGAGCCCCTATGGGCCCAGGTTAGTTGTTTCTGTAGATTTTCTTACAGCGTTTTTGACCTATCTGGCTCTTTCAGCCCTCCCTCCCCTCTTCCACAAGATTCCCTGTGTTCCACCTAGTGTTTGGTTTTGAGTCTCTCTACATCTGTTTTCATAGGCTGCTGGGTAAAGCTACTTAGATGACTGTTATACTAGCCTCCTGTCTGCAAGTATAGCAGAATATTATTCATAGTGTCAGGGGTGGGTTCTCTCTCTCATGGCATGGGTCCCAAGTTGGGCCAGTCGTTGCTTGACCAGCTATTCCTTCACTTTCTGCTCCTTCTTTATCTCTGCACCTCTTATAGGCAGAAAAAAATGTAGTCCGAAGGTTTTGTATCTGGGTTGGTATCCCCATCTCACCATTGGAAGTCTTGACTTGTTACAGGAGTTGACCATTTCATGTTCCATATCCCTTATTGCTAGGAGTCTTAGCTAATGTCTCCCTTATAGATTTCTAGGAGTTTCCATTGTTCTAGATTTCTACTTGTCCCAGAGATACCCCCTACTGATTCTAATTCTTTCTCCTAGTTCTCTCTCCCAGCATCTTCTGTACACTTGATCCTTCCTGTTCCTCTCCCTACCCCCTTTCCTACACAGTTCCCTCCCTCCATCCACCCTAGATATCTATTTTATTTTCCCATTTCTGTGTGATTTGTAATGATAGTAACTGCTCAGTTCATGTAGCATACCTACTTCTAAATTCTACTTTACACCTTTTCAGATTTAATAATTCCTATCAGAGCAGTGTGATTATTCATATTTAATAGTAAATATTACTTACATTTTATTGGGAAACAACAGATTAGCTATATATTTATACTCATTCCTACAAGCCGAGTATTAAGCAAAATTGGAACTTCCTTATTCTTCTTCTGTAATTATTGCTTGGCTCTTCCCGAGCAGCTCCAACCACAAATATTATAAAACAGATTATGCGATTTATTCTATGAATTTCTTGCCTAATTCTACTTAAGGAATTAAATAAAGGTGCATAGAAGTTTTAGGACAAGGACTATAATTAGATGCATTCTCTGGTGGTATCACAGGAAGCAGCCAGACTGACTAGTTATGTGCATTTGCACTGCTCCTGTGTGACCACTCAGCACTGCTACTTCCCCACTCTTAGCAACCTCTTTCCTTATCAGCTCTTCCTCTTCTCTCCACCTAAAGCTCACAAACACTTGTGTCATAGTGAGGTGTACTGAGAAAATCCACTCATAGTCTTCCACGCAGACAACTCATACGTGATTGGGAAGTTAGAAATGTTGATTACCCTGATTCAATCATTATACATTAGTATATATTGTAAATTACTACTTTTTAATGACCAGTAAATAAATATGATTGACTAATTCTTATTATAAAATTCAATAGAAAAACATTAGATTCTTAGAATTACTACTAGTTTTATTCAGTTTCACTGTTTTGTTTTTAACTGTTGTAGCTGTATTTGCATTTATTAGTAGCTATATAAGACTTGGTAGTTTGTGTTGTTCGTTTATTTGATTTCTTGGTGCAGAGTTTTATTATGTCTCAGACCACACTGGAGCTCAAGATCTTCCTGCCTTTGCCTTCTGAATGCTAAAACTAAAGATAGATAACAGCACACCTGGCATCTTTGTATATTCACCCTAAAGTGATAGCAAGAAGTAAAGAAAAGTGAATCAGACCTTTTGATTATTGTTAAAAAATATTACTATTACCAGATCCAGTTATAGGTTAACAATGGTAGAATTTCATATATTCTGCACAATACAAATATATGTATGTGTGTACCATATAAATAGATCTAGCATGTTCCCTTCTCTTTGCCCATAAAGCCAGTATTAAACAGTTGTAAGGGGAGTATAGTTAGAGCTTAGAGGTAAGGTGTGAACAGCTCTTACTGGATTCCCAGAATTACACACAAAAATAATAATTTTGAAGAAGTCTATAAAGCACCTTGGCAGCTGTTAAAAACCCTAAGTATGCTTCACCTTTAGATTTTGTATTTCTTGATCTATATACATTCAGGTCATTTATACATACCTTTGCCAAACTTAAACACATACTGTCAAATCCTGACAATAGCTTGATCATATCTGCACAAATTTAGCAAGCAATAAAATGGAATTTAATCCCCCAGTGAAACAGCTGCCCTAATAACCCCTCTGCTGTGTAACTAAAAAGCTCTGTGTCAGGTGAACAGCAAGCCGGGAGGTCCTGAGGTCCATGCTTGGCTTGGATGGTAATTCTATCTTCTCTCTCTTTCTAGGCCATGGCTGTTATCTTCTCGAATTTTAGCATTATAACAACAGCTCTTCTATTCAGGATAGTGCTGAAGTAAGTAATCCAGAATGCAAGCACACGGCAGCCTTTAAAGTGGGCCAGTCTGGCTATAGACAGTTGATACAGAATGCTGAGCCTCAGAATCCATAGGCCACAATTTTATTTCTAATTAGCTGTGTATATTAGACACCTTGTTTATCCAGTGAGGAAAGCAGCTCTAGTGCTCTTTAAATCCTCTGCCATCGGGTATATGAAATAGCTTGAACTTTTCAATAGTAAGATATTTGATTACCATTTGTTAGTATTTTAATTTTCAGTGTTTTTTAAAATGTGTTTTAAGATCTTCTGACAAGATCTTACTTTGTAACTCAGAAAAGCCTGGAACTCATAGTCCACGTGCTTCAGCTTCCCAAGGGCTAGGATTACTAGCCACATCCAGTCTACCAGGGGCTGCACTCTTGAAGAGCACTAACACTCCTTGTTCTGACAGCTATCAATTCCTTATGGAGGGATGGGACTGTGTGCCCACCTGCTTTCTTCATGCTGGGACTTCCTTTTTCCCTTGAGCTTGCATAGATCTTGTGTATGCTGTCAGAATTGCCTGAGTTCATACACACATCTGCCCCACTGTGTCCAGAAGACACTCTTTCCTTGTAACTAGTCTCCACCTCTGACTCTCACTTTCTTCTCCAGTTAGCCTTGGGAGGAGGGAGTCACAGACAATCTCTTATTCTCTGAACTTTGACCACTTCTGGGTCTTTATGTTAATTACCATCTAATGCAAAACAAAATTTCTGTGATGAATGTTAAGAGATACATTAATCTACAAGTGTAATGATAAGTCATTAGGAGTTAGTTTAGTAGTATACCCATTTAACAGAATAATGGTAATAGATAATCCTCTAGGGCCGATGACCTGTCTAGCCACAGGTTCCTGTGCCTGATAACACAGCCAGGTATAGGTTTCAACTTGTAGAGTGGGCCTTAAATTCAGTCATAATAGGACGGCTACTTCTGTGACATTTATGCCACTATTGTATCAGCAGGGATGTATTGCTAAGCTGATAGTTATTGTATTTCTCAGGGTTCCCAACTGAGTAAAGTAGATGATTACTTTTCTCCTCTGATAGCATGTATAGCACCTTCCAGCACTATGAAAACTAGCCTATTTAAGGATTGCATAGAAGGCAGAAAATAGTATGGAGCCATTTAGAGGGGATGAAAGAGGGATCTCAAAGAAGATGAGGTACAATACAGTGCCATAAGAGTTCAAGGGGAAGAAGGGAACAGAAAGGGTTAAGTGGGGCAGAGAATTGGAGGACCTGTTAGAGCAGTAACTATGGCGAGGGATAACTAGCACCAAAGACCTTCAAAAGGTCATGTGGAAACTACTGTAGAAGTTTCCTGAAATATATACAAATATAGACATACATATGAGTCTCAATAGAGTTACCCTGTAATGTGACAGCAGTACCCCCACTAGACACTGCAGGCTAACAAAAAGGCAAGTCCCACAAATGGTTATCTCTTTTGAGTTATTAGTCAGTGATACCCTTCATTCTTTTTATGTCAGCTTGCCACAAGCTAGAGCTCTCTTGGGAGAGAAACTTTGGTTTGAGACAATGCCTCAATCAGATTGCCTATAGGGGGCATTATCTTGATTAATGATTGATATGGGATTGGGAGGACCCAGCTCACTGCCATCGATGCTACTCCCTGGTAGGTGGTACTGGATGGTAAAGGAAAGCAGGCTAAGTAAGCCATGGAGAGAACACACCAGTATGCAGCCTTCCTCCATGATCTCTGTGTAGTTCCTGCCTCTAGTTTTCTGCCCTGCTTGGGTTTCTGCTTCCTTCATGGAGGAACTGTGATTATGTAAGCCAAATAAACTTTCCTCCCCAAGTTGCTTTTGGTCACAATGTTTATCATAGCAATAGAAAGCAAGTGAGAACATCCCCCAGGCATTGCAGGCCCTTGCCAGTGCTCTTGAGTCCCTTCCAGAAACTGCATTACGACTGTCACTGAATACACCATGTACCTCATTCATAGAACATGGAGAAATCAGCTAATTTTCTTTGTATCTTTTCCATAGAACTCTATGCAAACATAATTATTTGTATGGGGGGGGATGTGATATGGGTATGACAAATGTTTGTGCGTGGTGCTATAGCACTCTTATGGAGATCAGAGGACAACTCACAGAAATGGTGTATTTCCTACCATTGTGAGGTTCCATAATCAAAGTCAGGTTGTCAGGGTCATATGCTAGCCTTTTTTCCTACTGCTCCGTCCCACTGCCCAGATTTATTCAGAGTGGAGACGGATGGCAGGCATTATGGTAAGCATAGTTGTGGCTACTTGGTTCTGGGAAATAGCATTACTTGAGGGTTGAGATTTTAGGGTTAAAAATAAAAATGATCAGTAATAATTTATCTACCAAGTATAAGTTTTCTCCAATAGAACCAGGAAAAAAGAAGTATTACTAATTAATATAATAATTTTCTCCAAAAGTATTCATTTGAGAAATCTGTATGATTCATCATAACTCTCTATCTCTGGGAACTCATTCAGTGCTACTAGGAAATGTATTTGGTGTGATTTTTTTGAGAAAGCAGTCAGATGAGTCTTTTTACCGTTTTATTCTCTGTATTGCTTTAAATACAGTAGAAACACAATAAAACTGCTCTTATCTGACACTGTTTAACCTAATTTCTCACTTAATAGGTAAGCTAGTGATTGTAAATTATGTATAGTTGCCTCTAAGAATGTACAAGATTTGTTCTAGAGTCCCAAAATTTATGTGAAAGTCCCTTAAATGACGTGTAGCATCCCCATGTAATCTGCCACATTTTCAAAGTGCTTTATGTTGTGTATGCTGCCTAATGTAATGTAATTTCTATACAAATAGTTTTAAATTATTTATCCTGCCTAATACAATATAAATATTCCTATTTTAGGAATAATAAACTCTGCACCTGACTATCATTTTCAAATCCTTTCAATCTACTAAATCTGTAGATATAGAACTCACTACACAGTAGTTCCTCTTAGTGATGAGGAATGTGTCAGTTCCCAAACTGGATGCATGGACAGTGCTAAACACTGCAAAGTGGTGATTTTTATCTCCCAAAACACACACACACACACACACACACACATACACACACATACACACACACACACATGTGCACATGTGCAAAATTCATTTTCATTTGAACTAAACACTTAGCCACATACATCACCATAACTTTTCTAGTTTGAGATCATTTTATAGTTTGTAACAGTAAAATTGGGATAGGTTTGTTTCATTTTTCTTCAACTTCATGAACAGATATTTTTTTTCTCAAGAGACCTTTAACAACCTTAACACATTTTTTCCTTTCTCTGTTAAGTTGAAAATTTTCAGCATTTCACTTAGAGGAAACACCCTCCAGCCTCTCTGGAAGGTTAAACTGTCAGTACCACACTTCCTTTGCACTATTAAGTGAAATAAGGGTAGCTTCTCTGCAGACATTGTGATACCTAGCAGTCTCTCAGAGGGCAGGCAGGTGCTGAGTGACTGCCAGGGAGGTTACACACATAGAAACAAGGGGCAAAAGAGTGACTCACATGGAGGATAGGGCAAAAGGAGGAGGAGATTCTGTCATGTTCCTCACATAGTGGACAGTTAAAATCTTAGTGTTGGCAAGATGGCCAGGCGGGTTAAAGTGATGCTGTGAAGAAGATGATCTGAGTTCAGTCCTTAGGACACACAGGGTGGCAGCAGCACCCTTTCTGCAAGTTGTCCTCTGCCCTTCACATGTGCCTGTGTGCATGCACACACATGCGTATGCACACACACACAAAATATGGTAAAAGAAAGAATTTAAACAAAATAAATTCTTTTCATAATTTATCATTTATGTATTAAGCTGTTAGAGACTATGAGATCATTTTGTAAAAAAAAATAACATCTAAGACATAAATTAATGTTTATGAGAGCAGAAGCCCTCAGCCATCCAGCTACACTCTGAACATCAGCCACTGTCCTACAGGGCAGTGGAGGGGTCTGCTCAGTGAGCTCCTGCTGTCTCACTAACTGAACAGTGAACTCAGCCATGTGAGGTCAAGTCGTCACCTATGCACAGATCCTCAGCTGAGTCGTTTATGAAACGTCATATTCCTTTTTTGAAAATACCCCGTATGTATCCAAATTCTTAGTAATTTTTATCTTCCCTACAGCACTAGCTTGAATCAATAGTTATTTGCAGTGGCTACTTTTGACTTTATTTCAGGGCTTTGCCTTTAGATCCTTTTCTTCACAACATTAGCAGAAAATCTATAGCTCCCAGTATGAAAAACTTCTGAAAGCTATAAAGTTCCTCATCTGCCATGTATAGTAATTCATTGTAATTATTTTCATAAATTAGATATCCATTCTCTATCTACATTTCCAGTCATTACTCTCTACAGCTTTACTGTGTGCCACTTGCACCTTCAGCATTGCTGTGGCTCTTTGTGGTTTTAACCCCATGTCGTAGGGCAATGACTAACCCTGTCACTGGGATCTAAATCTAGTTATGTGAAAATCATACATGAGAAGGCATGATACACAGAGATGCTGCTTCCCAAGCTACTGTATGTATTTAGCACCTTCAGAGAATGGAGCTGTAGAATTGAAGTCAGACTCATTTTTCTGCACATGTTCTGGGAGTTTAGAATGAGCCTTAAAAGCTGTAGCTGTCTAGGAGGAAGAAGATACACAAAGCCATGACAGATCTCTTCCTTATTCTTTCATAAACACATGAACAAGGAAAGCGTTTAGCTCTCACTTAGCTTTTTCCCTACGTGCAGGAATTGCCTACAGTGTCCTAGGCACTCAGTAAATCCCCTAGTCATGACATCTTTCTCACTTCCAGTTCTCACTTTGACACCTCTGCTTTTGCTTAGCTTTCCCCATCTTAGGGGCCTTACAGACTGTCCCTGACTGAGAGATAAATGCACATTCTTTGTGGCCTTTGCATAGTTGCTTTTCTGCCTTACCTCTACAAGTACCCATAGTAAGCTCAGTATAGCTCACTGGATCTTAAGTCTCAAGTCTGCCATCACTTAGTTCATGGCTCTCTCCTGATTATAATGTAAACTCCCTCAGGAGCGAGGACAAATCTTTATCTGCCCAGTTTGCCTGTTGATTGCATGTCTTTGAGCTGAGTAAATGACCAAATAGAATGACCGTACAAATCCTCTACAATTCACAACTTTATTGTCAGGTAAAGCCAATAAGTAAAGCCTGTTGGGTTTTATAAGAAATGCTACCCAAGTGTAATTTTTTCTTTCCTTGTCCTCTAGTACTTCGCTTTATGGTGGCTTGTTGTTAGGCCCTTGGCCCTGTAGCTAATGTCCTCAACAATGTGTGTATCATGACTCTAGTCTTCTTTGAGAAAATATATCTGTATTGATCACTAGAGCTTATCCATTTCTGATTCTTGCAAACTGAGCTAAGGTCTTCTGTAAGAATTTATAGCTTACCACAATAAAAATCACCGTGTTAGAGATCCAAGATAGCCCTCAAAGACAGGAGGCTGTGGTACACCTACCTATTCAAGGTAATTTGTAGGAAAGAGAAGTTAAAAATGTCCCTCAAGCATTCTGAAAGTGAATAGAGGGTTGGGGTGTGAGACATAGGCCCATCAAGTTTATAGTGCACTTGGATTGTAGGGAATACTAGCAACTGGGTATAGTTTATTCAACCAAGTATTCTAGTTCCCAAATTTTCAGTAGAACATTTAACAGGAGAAGAGGGATGAAAGCAGATGTGGTAAAATCTTGTTTTCTCCCTTTTGTGTAGGCGGCATCTGAACTGGATACAGTGGGCTTCCCTCCTGATTCTCTTCTTGTCTATTGTCGCCCTAACTGCCAGTACCAAAACGTCACAGCATGACTTGGCAGGACATGGATTTCATCACGATGCCTTCTTCACCCCATCTAATTCCTGCCTTCATTTCAGGAGAGACTGTTCCCTAAGAGACAATTGTACATCAAAGGAGTGGACTTTCAGCGAAGTCCAGTGGAACACAACAGCCAGAGTTTTTAGTCACATCCGTTTGGGCTTAGGCCACATTCTGATTATAGTTCAGTGTTTTATTTCTTCAATGGCCAATATCTATAATGAGAAGATCCTGAAGGAGGGGACACAGCTCACTGAGAGCATCTTCATACAGAATAGCAAGCTTTATTTCTTTGGCATTGTTTTTAATGGGCTAACCCTGGTACTTCAGAGCGGTAACCGTGATCAGATTCAGAACTGTGGGTTTTTTTATGGCCACAATGCATTTTCAGTAGTCCTTATTTTTGTGACTGCCTTCCAGGGCCTTTCAGTGGCTTTTATCTTGAAATTCTTAGATAACATGTTTCATGTCTTGATGGCCCAGGTGACAACTGTCATCATCACAACAGTGTCTGTTCTGGTCTTTGACTTCAGGCCCTCGCTGGATTTTTTCCTAGAAGCCCCGTCAGTCCTCCTCTCCATATTTATTTATAATGCTAGCAAGTCTCAAAGTCTAGAGTGTGCACCTAGGCAAGAAAGGATCCGAGATCTAAGTGGCGGTCTTTGGGAGCGTTCCAGTGGGGTAAGTTGGTGCAAGTGCACTTTGTGCTTATTCTTAAATTCAAAGCACGTGTATTTAAGAAAGACAATAGCATCAGTGTGTCAGAAAGCATCTTAGATCTCTGTGACTTACAGAAGTCATGCACTAGACTTCTGAGGTGTCAAGTACTATATAAGTCAGAGTGCCCCGAAGATTTTGTGTGTCAACTATGTAATTGTATCACATAGAACCACAGACCATGAAGATACTCATCCCTTGTCTCCCCTAGATTCATGGTTAGAGAGTGAGCCAAATACTTTATAGACAGTAAGTAAAAGAACTGGTAATGGAGCTGTGTGCTCTGACTCCCTGTTCCTTGGTTTTCCACTACATAGTGGTTGGAAAAATGAAGCTAATTTCTTACACTGATAAATCGTGTGAGACAAAAAACTTGTTACCTTAGTCTTCCCCATAGTTATCTGTTTATTTCACATAAGAAAATGGATTTTTCACAAGAGCTTTCTTAGATAAGAATATATTCTAAAACAAATAGTTATTCTGAATTTACATTTTTTTGTCAACACACAAAGATGAACTGTTTCACATCACAAGCCCATTTTTCTCTGCAGGAAAATCTGTCATTTACTGGGCTCATTGCAAAAGTCCAAATGTTGTATCTCTGAGGTTTTGATAACAGATTTTAAAATTTAAAAAAAAAAAAGATAGATCATGTGTCCCAAACCAGAGTCAGCAAGAATGTATATTCGGGAGTCCTCTGTTCCTTCCAGTGAGCTAATAATAATTGCTTGCCTTGCCCTTTAAGGAATTAAAATCACATTAGTACCAAGAGTTCTTTAAATCATTTATCATTCTTTAATTATTTCCCTGAAAGACCTGCAGGTGGTGGTCTTGGTCTGAGTTGAATACACTTTACTTTTTTCATTATAAAACAAAAAAATAGTTTTTAGGTTTATTTTATGTGTATAAGTGTTTGCTTCCATGTGTGTACACCATTTGTATGCCTTGTGCCCTCAGAAATAAGAAGAGAACATGAGATTCCCCCAGGGACAGGGATTACAGGTGATTGTTAGCCACAGATAGTTGTGAAGTACCATATGGGTGCTGGGACCAAACCTGTGTCCTCAGCAAGCACAGTAAGTGCTCTTCATCACTCAGCTGTCTCTCCTGTCCCATCTTTACTTTTGATCATCCTCTGTCCTTCTAACTGTAGCAATTTCAACTATAATTTGACCAGATTATATAAACAGTTCACAAACTAAAACTCACAATTCAATGAATAAACCTTTGATTCATAAATTCAGTAAGATATTGAAACATCTCAAATTCTAACTAGTTACTCATTTCCTGTTTCCTTTTAGGATGGAGAAGAGCTGGAAAGACTTACCAAACCCAAGAGTGATGACTCGGATGACGACACTTTGTAATGGGACTTGGTTGGTGGACAACTCCCACAAACTGTGTTTGCACATTTTCAGCATTTGTGGCAATTGTCTTTTCTGATAAACTGATGATGTTTGAAAGCATAATATTCTTTACATGTATCTAACCACGAATAAACAGTTCCATCCAAGACCTATAGCTGCCACAGGGTGGCAGAGTTCTGAAACATAAACATAGGACTGCATAACTGAATACCTGATGAGTCAACAGGACACATATGCAGACTGTTTCCTCAGCCTCTAGGTTCCAGAAATCATGTTAATTTGACCCTACAGATACACAAACGGAGACAGCTTGCCAGATACTAATCATCGTATCATATCTGCCTGCCAAGGTCATCTCTCTCTCTCTCTCTCTCTCTCTCTCTCTCTCTCTCTCATTGTTATATTGTCTGGGTTGTCCCTCAGATTTCGAGGCCTTAGCAATAGTCATTTTGCTTTTATTAAAGCAATAAGACTCTAAAAGTTTGGCTGAAAGATCTAACTATCTGGCTGTGCCATAGATTTTATATAACATCCTTTGTGATAAAATATTTTTAAGCTATTCTTCAGAAATAAAATTTCAGATTTTTATTTGTTTTTTTTTTTTTGGAACTTACAAGAAATTGTATTCTTTGTAATCATCTTTTTTTTAAGCTTTATTTACATGAAAGTTGGTTGCCACGTTATCATAGTTAGCATTTGTATTTTAAATCACCTAAACCGTTGTAACCGTTGTGGAGTTGTTTGTTTGTTTGCCCCATCCTCAGTTTGTACATTTACAAAATCTTGACATCATTACCTTTTGATGTTCAGTTACTGTGCTGAGAATTAAGTTGTTTTATTTTTGAGTTATTAATTGAACTGTTTTACTATTATCTATCTTTGTACAATATCTTATTCTAAAAGTCAAGACTCTGGCTTTAGGACACCTTTATAAGAATCCTTTTGTAAAAACAATAATGACTTTTAATGAAATAGCGTAGTGTTACTCCAAGAGGGCCAGTAACCAGTAAGTCACCTCTCAACAACACTTCCTACTTATAAGTGCATGGTATTTCTCAAGATAGATTTGCATGCAGCCAGTTGACTCTTCGTTGGTAGAGCAGTCATGTGACAGATAATTAAAATGTGAGAAAATAGATCGACTTGTCCAAGGTCTTATAGCCCGAAGGGTAATAGAAACAAGCTTCAAGCCTGTGTGTTTACAAACTCCTACACTGTAATATGAGTTATAAGCTACCATGAAGTCTGCACATTCCTTATTCAAGTTTCCATGTATTTATATATGATATTACTATCATTATAATCCTCACATCTACCCAGAATAATATAACTGGCAATCATTGCTAAAACTTTTTAATTAAAATAATTACTAAACTCTTATTTTGTATCTGTATTCTGTCATATGAGATGTAGTGTGGAACGCTTTTAAATTTAAAACAATGGAAAGGCAAATATTCAAGCAACTTAAAACTTTGTCTTTGACTAAATCTTGGTGTCTAAGGAATAGTTAAATCTCTACCTTACCATAGGCATTCTTACCAAGTTACATGAAATGGTATCAACCAGCATGATTCATCTTAAAGATAAGGAAAATAAGATACACAGGACTCACTTTTAGAAATGAGAGCATGAAAATTATCTTACTGAGCTTCCAAAGAAATTGCAAAAGTGTAACCTACAAGACAGTATAGCAACCATTTGTGTCAATGGTATGGGGTAGTTTGATTTTTCTTATTTACACTTACTTTTTGCATTCTTACTTGTTTGGAAAACATTCATTGTTCACCATCGTGTTAATTTGCCACTCCCTGAAAGGGCTGAGATGGAAATAAAATGTCAGATAGATGCACTTGAGTACATTAGAAGCATTACTGTTTTAAGAAGGACAGTGTGAAAGTAAGAGGTCCAGAAACCATTTCCCAGGTACTAATGGAGTGGGAACTATATGACCTAAAACAAGAGTGTGGATACTGGTTGTGAAAGGGAAAGTGGCCTAGACCGAGATCCCAAGTCCTTTCCCAGCTGCTTCTTGCTCCATAGGTTTTCTGTGTGCCGTGTGGCCCTCTCAGGCTGTATTTGCTCAGCTTACAGCTAGGGCTTATCTTCTTGTTTCACCCCTGAATCCCCATGTGGAAGCCCTGTTGCTTGTGAGGTAGATATTGAGGCTTTGTAACTACTAATACTGCTGTAATCCTTTCTCACTGTATAAGCCAACTGGCTGGATGTGCCCAGATCCTCCTTGGTACCTTCTCCCTTTTCCTACAATGATTTTATCTATGAGCTCTCAACATTCCAAGCAGAAAAGGCTAAGCATAATGGGTAAGAGGTTGATTTTCTCTTTCTAAAGCCTAGATCAGAGTTCTTGAAATTGAGCAATTATATATTTCCATTTTTAATGAAGAAAACATTTAATAAAAGTGTCAACATGAATTTTTACTTTTATTAAAGTGCAGCCAAATAACATGATGTATGAACTTATTTTTTCAAGACAGATTCACATTGCATACCTTTGGCTAGTCTTGAATTCACTTTGTAGTCTATACTGGCCTTAGAGTAATCTACCTGCCTCAGCCTCCCAAGCTGAAATTTCAGCTGTGAGGCACCATATTCAGCCTTACTTACATGTTTTATATTGAAAACCAAAACACATTTACAGAATAAAATATAGTACTATAAAGATCAATAAATTTCAAATTAAAATACAAACTTTGCTTAGCTTTATGTCAACTTGACAAAAGCTTAAGTCATCTAAGAGGAGGGAACCTCAATTAATTAAATGCCTCCATCAGATTGAGCTGTAAGGAAACCTGAAGGCATTTTCTGAATTATGATTGGTGGGAAGGGACTAGCCCATGTGCATGGTGCCATTCCTGGGCTAGTGGTCCTGGGTTATATAAGAAAGCAGGCTGAGCATGCCATGGAAAGCGAGCAACACACACACACACACACACACACACACACACACACACACACACACACCATGGCCTCTTCGTCAGCTTGTGCCTCTAGGTTTCTGTCTTGCTTGAATTCCTGTCCTGACTTTCTCAATGATAAACAACGATATGGAAGTCTATCCCAAATAAATCCTCTCCTCCCCAAATTGCTTTTGGTCATGGTGTTTTATCACAGCAATAAAAACCTTAACAAAGACAGAAATTGATACTAGGATTGAGGAATATTGCTCTGACAGACCTGACCATACTGTTTTAAGGAAGATGGTGGGAAGTCTTTGAAACTTTGGTCTAGAAAAGTGTTAAGAGTTCAGGGGACTATTCTGTAGGAACTTGGAAGGTGTTTCAAGCAGTTCAGAGAGGGAAGCCTCGCTTGTGACGTTTCAGAGGGAAGCAAAGACTCTTAACAGGCCATTTGGAGAATGTGTGATGTCTAGTCAGCTAGAGCTGAAGAATTAGCTGTGAGTAACAAGAGACCAGACCCACTAAAGTGAAGCCTTCATTTTACTGGGACAATTGATGCTGCTCATCTGGGGCTGAAGAATTATCTGTGATTAATAAGAAACCAGAGTCTTTGAAGTGAATCTTCTGGAATGTGTTTCCTAAGACTCAACACATAGAAACTATGTTCCAGAGGTAGTCAAGGTTGTAACTCATGCTGGTATTCCAATCTCCTTATTTTATATTTGGAACACCCAGTCTGTTTTGGTTATCCTTGTAACAAGAATGGGTTGTTATGAACTATATAGTGACTCCGCTGGAGTATAGAATACTGATGCCAGTTTTTTCTATGTCACTGTGTTTGAGTTCCCAGTTTCCAGCCACTCTTTATCAACCCTGCTGCCATGCAATTCTATTAGTCACTGTTCCACAGATCAACTTTTAAGGTTCTGTATGTGGAAGAACGTGTATTTTTTTTCTGTCTGATTTATTTTGTTTGCCACAATGTCTTCCAGATCCATTGACCTTACTGTAAATGATAGGATTTTTCCATGTCTAAATTATGTCCATCAAATGTATATACCACATTCCTTCAAATAGTTCTCTGCTGATAGGCAGGGAGGTTGGTCTCATATTTCAGCTATTGTTATAAGTATTTGAGTACAGCCTGATTTCTGTGTATGTATATCCCAAGGTAGGATAGCTAGTCTATTTTTAGTTTTTCTAAGAACTTGCTCACTGTTCTCCATAACAGCTGTGTAAACCTTTCCCTTTCCTTCACATTTTCACCAGCACATGCGGTTTATGTTTTCTTTTGATAATGGCCATTCTGCTTTTCATGACTTGGTAAGTCATCATTATTTGATGATTCCTTTCTCTCGTGGCAGACAGGGAACAGAAAGAAGGATGAAGACTACATAATGTCAATGCCCATGCCCAGTAATTCATCCACCAGCAAGGCTACGCTACCAAAACCTTCCCTAATGGTGCCACCAACTGGGCACTCTGTGTTCAAACACCCAAGCCTATGGGTGGGGATGGGAGTGTCACTATAGGGAAGAGAAAGTAGATCCTGGGGTCTTACTCTGCTTCTTTCTTCAATCCTTTAAAGTTTTCATTGTCCAAGTCTTTCATTCTCTTTGTTAGAGTTTATTCCGTGATATTTAATTGGGGGTGGGAGATACCGTGGATGGGATTGGTTCCTGATTTCTTTCTATGTTTGTCTTTGGTTTCTAGGAAGGCCACTTATTTGGACACGTTAATTGTGTAACTTGCTCTGTACTGAAAGTATTTATCAGCTTTAGCAGTTTCCTGATGGAGTCTTTGGCTTTTCTTTTATATAGATTCATGTCTCCTGTAAATGAGGATGCTTTGACTTCTTCTTCTTCTCATGTCTCCCCCTTATTTGCTCCTTTAGTCTCATTCCTCTACCTAGGACTTCAAAGAAAATATGAAATAGGAAGCAAGAAGGCAATTTGGTTCAACACAACTAAGTAGCCAGTGTTGGCTCAAACTTCTGGAATCTGACCTTCAATAGGTTATTTTAGGTATATTTAAACACAACACTATTTGATGAAAACTTATTCTGGTGATAAGTAACTCATATTGTGAGGATCCAAAATTCATTGACCATTGACCATGATGACCATTGAGCCAATGGGAGACACCTGGCAAGATCATAGGAAACAGTGTAATCATCCAGGTGACCACCAAACTGCCATTCCTCCTCATTTCTCCCTTGCTGGTGCTTCCTCCCCTTTCTTTCCATCTCTATACCTACCACAACAATTAGCTACCTTTGTAACTGTTCTCAACTTGTCTGAGTTTATGTGAAAGGAGAAGTCTTTTCCAGTTTTGTGTTCTGGATTCTAGCAGAATATATAGAAAGTAGCATAAATTATTTTAATCATTTATTCTACATGGAGTCTAACCTTCAGGGCAATATCATGATTAAGAATGGCAATGTCTGCTCTCCTCATGGGGCCACAAACCCCCTCAGCTTCAACATTCTTCACTCTAACTCCTCCATTGGGAACCCCATGATCAGTTCAATAGCTAGCTATGAGTATCTGCCTCTGAATATGTCAGACTCTTGCAGACCTCTAAGGAGACATCTATAGCAGGCTCTTATCAGTATGTACTTCCTGACATCCACATCAGCATCTACCTTTGGTGACTGCTCATGGGATGGATACCGACCGAGGTGGAATGGTCTCCAGATGGCCCCTCCTTCAGTTTCTGTCCCTCACTTTGTCTCCATATTTGCTCCCTTGAGTATTTTGTTGCTCCTTCTAAGAAGGACCGAAGCAGCCCCACTTAGTCTTCCTTCTTCATGAACTTCATGTAGCCTGTGAGTTGAATCTTGGACATTTCAAGGTTCTGGGCTAATATCCAGTAATCAGTGAGTGAATGCCATGCGTGTTCTTTTATGATTGGCTTACCTCGCTCAAGATGATATTTTCTAGTTCCATCCATTTACCTAGGAATTTCTCGAATTCATTGTTCTTAATAGCTGAGTAATACTCCATTGTGTAAATATACCACATTTTTTGAATCCATTCCTCAGTTGAAGGACATCTGGGTTCTTTCCAGCTTCTGGCTATTATAAATAAGGCTGCTATGAACATAGTTGAGCATATGTCCTCGTTATATGTTAGAGCATCTTCTGGGTATATGCCCAGGAGTGGTATAGCTGGATCCTCAGGTAATGCTATGTCCAGTTTTCTGAGGAGCCACCAGACTGATTTCCAAAGTGGTTGCATCATCTTGCAATCCCACCAACAGTGGAGGAGTGTTTCTCTTTCTCCACACCCTCGTCAGCATCTACTATCACCTGAGTTTTTAATCTTAGCCATTCTGACTTGCCTGAGGCTATTAAATGAAATGCAGCCATTACTCTTGTTTTAGAGAAAAACCAAGAGAGGTTTTCAGATAAGAACAAATGACTATCATTATAAATTCAAGAAATTGACCATATATCAAAAATCAATGAATTATGTTCTGTATAAGATGTATATTTAATGAGAATGAAGTATGCTGTTTACTGTATTTTCTTCTGATTTTCATTGTTCCTATAAAATGAATGTCAATACTTTTAGTATTTATTTGGACTTGGTGGTGATACTAAAATAGATAGAAGTCTGTAATTATCCATTTCAGTTTGTTTAGTTACTCATATGTCATATATACACATGAATAACTAAATACAGTTACTATCAAAAACTTCAGAATGATTGTTGATTTGCTCCCAAACATAAGTTCATAGAATAAAAGTCCTTTTTATGCATGGAAAAAAAAGAATGGCAATGTCAAGTCATTACTTTCATAAGCCACTTTGTTCAGTAATTCCCAACTTGGTCTTCTCAAATTTAGGACTGTAAAGTCATTACTTTCATAAGCCACTTTGTTCAGTAATTCCCAACTTGGTCTTCTCAAATTTAGGACTGTTTCTAG